TTTACTTCCTATAGTGTTTACTAGCCTACTTCTTATATGTTCGCCAATACCCAATCAATTTCAAAAGGACTGTAGTGAAGGTGTTCCTCCAATATAGTAAGTTCACAGTCTGAGGAGTTTATTATATTCGGTCCTCTAGATCGGTGGACTAACGACTACAAAGATGGCCGTGAGAAACCATAGCATAACGTCATTATTACATACCCATTGGTCGTTATAAAATTGTTTCAAACCTCGCGACTGAACTGAAGTTTTTGACAACTTAACATCAGCCACAGCCACGTTCGATGACTAGAAAAGAAATCTGTGACAGATTCCCTGATAGGATTATAGTTCGTAATGTAAGTAATTGGTTTTGGCTTGTGAAAGCTCAAGAAAGCAGAATTGTAGGAAGTGTCATATAAATGATTTCTAACTGAGAGTTATAGGTTTAACAAAATTGGGTCACCCCGTATCGAAAACCCTATTCATGTGCGAAGTATTATACAATTGGGATTAGTTGTGTTAAAAGCATCCTTAAAACACCGGCTGTTGAGATTGCTTCAATTCAACAATGAGATCAAATAGTAAATTGACTAGAGAACTGTACTAAAATACACACGCAAAATAGGAGGTTTTAAACATCTTACCCCTCCTTTACCACCTTTCTCTCACTCCCTCATATTATCTCTCTCTCTCTCTCACCCTCTACCTCTCTCTCTCTCTCTCTCTCTCTCTCTCTCTCTACCCCCATCTTTCTCTCTCTCTCTCTTGACGCCCCCGCACGTCCTCGCTATCTTCAATCGACTCGGAAATACCACAGCTATCTACACTCCAATTAGTTCTGGAGGCTTCGGCCATAGCGAGCTCTTCCGCCCTAGATATGGAGGTGATGCCCACTCGGGATTGTACGATCCAAAAATTTAAATGAAAAGACGTTACAGTACTGGGTGAAATTTTCTTCAAAGACGATTACCATAATTCGCCTATTGGGTCTGATGATGATTGGAGTGTCCAATCGAAATCGACCACCACTTACTATCTTTTATATGTATTTATTATTTGTCTTGTAGGTCAACAGTATAAGTGTAAATATAATACAAGTGTTATTAGACGTATTTTTGTACTTTCAAGTTACTAAAACAAAGCCAAAACCAACTCTGTAGTAAACTATCCTGCTGTTTTGGGGTAAACCCGACTCATATCACTGATAACTTGAGCTAACATGATTTTACACAGCTTTTGCACAGGTTTAATCCAAAGACCACGATATCGTACTTCTAGCAAAGAAAATGAATACTTTATCCCTGGGCTTTATATAAACGCCTCTGTCTAAATAGCTAAAACTCTTTTCTACAACTTCATTCATAAACATATTAAAATAAACAGCATTGCGTTTCTATCATAATGCAATTATAATTCTAGTATTTAAAGTCCATTAAAAGACTAACAAAACGATACCTCGATTATGAAAAACGAATGAGAGATAAATAAATCGTGGCTATTTCAAAATATCAAAGGTAAAATTATTAAAAAGCCAAGACAAGAATGTGATAACGGGCATTTAAACAGATAGATAAACCGCGATAGGCTAGGTCGCTCCCCCCTCAAGGTCGTTCCCTTTAAATTTTAAATATCAGCTGTTTGACTGCTTGCATTGTTGAGCAGAAACGTGGGGGTCAGAAAACTTATAACTACAGCTGATTTTACAGACAAATTCCATAATAAATAGCAATATGTTAGGTCTGTATCTAATCTAGCCTATTTTAGTTTAAAACTTCGTTAATTTTTTATGTGTCCATACAACAACAAATTTATTAGCAAATTATTTTACTCATTTGTAAAAGCGGACTGAAAACAACCCAATCGCAGATAAGAATTTAGAAAACATCGACAACTGCACAAAAAAGTTTCAAAAATTAAATAATGTCCTTTGGTCTCAACGGACAATGTCTGTGTGCAAAAAGTGTTGATTCAAAGATATGAAGGGTTTGAATCAAAGCCAATTCCCATTGTAAAGCACAAAAGCTCAGAGTATTTGTTTTTCCATTGCGACTTCACTTAAACATGCAAACCAAATGTAACAGTAAACATTGTCGATGTAGATTTAGTTTTATTGGAAAAACAAATGAGGTTGGAGTGGGATATTTGCCAAACACTACATTCGAATAGTTCCATTGTAATACCGGACCGTTCTGAATCTTTCAGCTTCGTTGGATTGCCTTTAGGTTGTAATTTAGTTTGAAAGAGAGGTTTGCTGTATATAAGGGCTATGTTTTTTATTTCATCGCGAAAATATTGCGTGGCTTTTATTGCAAGAAGTTTTCAAATACAAAAAAGGTATCTTAGTTTGAGAAATCATTCTTTTTGTCATCTAAATAGGCGAATCTAGACCTTTTTCCTTTTTTATAGGCAGGAGGGGAGTAACCACCAAGCGTGGCATTCTCACTTAGCTTATTGATTAATAATAATAATGTATTGTTGTTCGGCGGGATTTGAACCCACACTCCCAAGACCAAAGTCCCACGCGGATCCCCAGTCCAACCGCGTATTCATTATGTCCATTATAATAAAATCATAAACAATAACTAAATAGGATATTAAAACCAACATTAAAACGAAGTTTTGAAACATACTGTCAACATTATTGTTACATATCACGAACACACACAAATATATCTACACTTTTACCACTGACTATTTTTACTTACAGATTGCACGGGTTATTTACCTAAATTAATTTTCCTTGCGTTGCGACTCAACGAAATCATTTTAAATCCTACAAAAGAAATATTAATCCAACGTCCCAATCTGTGAAGGCTTAACGTGAAATACAATCGCAACAGAAGAGGATTTCCCGCCAAATCCCGGATTATCCCAGGGAATGACTGACAGATCTCTTGTTTGTGTAGTCAACACTTGGTCTTATCAAACACAAACGGTAGCCACTTTGTGTGACATGCTTACACAAACGACACAAACAGCTTCTATTGGATTAGGAATACCTACTGCAAGACAATAATGAATGCTAAACATTTTGTGATCCACAATATATATTTTTTAAGGACAATTTCCCATTTTTAGGCTATTTTTACCTACGTAAACGAATAAAGATTTGTGTTGTCATCAACGAGGTGAACTAATTTCCATTATTAGTTTTTAACGTTACCTAAAACATGTAGGCTAATGAAAAGTCAATTAATACCCTGATCACCCTCAACTAGTATTACCGGTACTTTATAGCTACAATTAAAATGAAATTGAATTTATTTTAACTAGCACAATACTCCATGTTCCACCCGAATCCAATGTTACAGTATCATAGTAGATTCTCAAATATCTTCAAAACTTATTTTTATTATTTATTTAATAGTTTAGTTTACATTAACTCCCAAAATGGTTTCCTTCTTGTTTCACAATAACTATGATGTCACCCTTACTTTTAACACGTATTACTCCGTCTACACAATAATTAATTGATATACTGAACAAATTACAAAAACTTCTTTTGAAATCAATTTTATCCAAAATATGATAAAAGGCTATCTGGATATATACTCTATTGTGGTTTAAAATACAATTGTCTCGGCAATTAAATACAAACACGTAAACGAAACGATACGATAGTATTTTTATGAGTTGAGGTGGAACTATTTTCTTCGGCGAAACCAGCGAATGAAGTTTATAGCTGGAAACTCCATACACTTTACGTCATCAACTCCAAAAGGTGTTTGAAAAATAACATCTACGAGCTAACTCTTCCAGGAATCCTGTGAACCGTTAAGCCATATGTAAACTGTCGCGTTCCAACCACGGTCGGGATGGTTGGTTCCGTTACGCTTGCGTGGTTGCGCCGGTTGCGCTCGCTTGGTTGCGACGCCAATAAACCTCAACTCAAGAATCCACTCAACTACTAATGTCCAAAGTGGATGACTCGGACCATTGACTTTGGATACTGAGGTGTACACCCCGTCCATACAGACCAGCTCTAATAATCTATTCAAGTAAAACTATACGAATATGCATCTCATGCAAAACGTTACTGTCCAAATTCTAATTCCCATAAAAGTTTTTGATACTGCCTACATGTTACATAAAATATGTAAGATATGCAATAAGTTCTTCTTTCAGTATGAGTTTATAAAATCTACGGCTACGTCAAGGATCAAATTTTCGAAAACTAGGAGAAGGCATACGGTTTTAGGCTTAATCTGACAGGTTAAATTCAACGCAAAGAAATATCAACAGCTTGTTCATAAAAGTAGTAATAATCCACGAAAACCAATCAATAAACAAATGCTCATAACTTAAACATGGTACCTTCAAAATCCTGTGTGACGGAGCCTCAAGCGCATAAGGATCGGAAATGAAACCTGTCCGAGCAATCAAATTAAACATTATACCAACGTTTCAGGGCGGTTGTACTTACGGTTTGGTTATTATATGATAAACATACAGACAGATGTTACAGTACGTTTCATTTTATACGAACATTATCAATATATAGTTTAAATCTACAGGGAAATGTTAGAGAAACATCACCGCTTGTTTAAGCATATCGCTCAGCAGCTTTGGATTTGATTAACATAATCAAGATGTCTTCTGAATATGAAACGAAACTAAACTAGAACGACATTATTATTCTATCGTCGAGCATGATTAATTTATTTACAACCCTCAAAAGTGTAAATTTTGCTTCAAAAGCTGATATTCTGACGGTAAAATAATGAAGGAATAATATTTCTACGTTTTATATATATTTTTCTGGCGTTTCAAATCAATTTTAGTGTTTTAAGACAAATTTTAAGATTTTTGACCAAAAATCACTTTGTTAGACCATTTCCTTTTATATTTGTCTTCGTTAAAAAATATTTTATTTTTAAATATAGGCCTACAGTGCGATTCTGAAAATAAAGTCAACATTTTAAATAGTAACACCACTTCCTCTTCCAACTTGATTTATAATTTATAATATAGGTACTAAACTAAATATACATATTTTTAAAATTTATATTACATACCTCAGCGTGTCAGTCCATGTGAAACTCCAAAAACCTGAAAGAAAATAAACGTCTTTAGTATTACATAAATTGGAGTAGATTAGTATTTCAAAAGACTAAAGGTTAATGTCTCGGAAATCGGTGAGAGAGTATAGTACCGATAGAAGATAGGGAAAAAATGAAAAATTGAAAAGTCTTTAAATAAAATAAAAACTTAAGTTTAAAATAGTTTTACTTTATCTATTTCCCTTGAGGAAGACCAATATTTTTATCATTATAGCTAAAAACAATGGAGGATTTAAAATCTCCTGAATCTTCAAAAACTGTCTAATTTCAGGTTACCACACACGTACTGAAGCCCAAAAAGTTAGTCTTCACCCCTATTTCATCCCGTAAGCAACAAAAGTACCCCGTTTTAGGGATAACATTCCACAAGTACGACTGCTCTTTCAAGCGGTCTGGGGCTTCATACTTCAAGGGCTTGAGACATCGGAATTCCAATTGTTATTGAACTTTGCCAGCCGAGTACAGTCTGGTTGCTGTACAATTGTGCACCACACTACCCAGGTACAGTCTGTGTACATTACTGTAGACCCCCTCTCCAGTGCTCACTCTGGAATGTCCTTCGCATTCCTCAATGAAAGTCTAGGGTGAAAGGCCAAGGATGTGATTTACGTTGTGTTTATATTCATACCGAATTCGGGGATATGCTAAGTGTTGGGATGGAACGGATTTCCGTTGTTAGAAGAGGGCTGCCAATACTGAAATTTACCCTATGCAAATGAAGGTGAAGTAAACTACTTATAATCTAACATAGCCTGACTAAATCTAACACGACCTAAAATACTTGCCATGTTGCCAATATGAATGAGTTGAACTACAATGTGGTAAATGTTTATCTCATTTATAAACTAAGTACCAGGTTAATTACTAATGCATGTCATCAGGTATTGTAATCAAATCGTAAAGCACAAATTAAGGAAATTTAGCTCACTCAAACGCCATCCCCAAAAACAACAGTGTTCAGATTTTAAAATAGAATGGGAAATCTACTTGCAATATTCGAAGACAATTTTTCGAATCAATTAACAATTTGCTACAAATCGACTATTTCGTTGGGATGTCTACCTCACTATTAAATGTTATTTGCAACAAGTCACATAAAAAATATTTGTCTAATAATTTATCAAATCGCACGCGAAAAATCCGGGGTTTTTTTCAAAACTAAAATCCCAGTATATTTTCAAACGTAACACGCTTCTAAACCCAAAATACGGTCTCGACACCGTTTCCATAAGTCAGAATAAAGAAGAAGACAGATGTCTCTCTATTTATGCTCTTCTCTTTGTGCTCGTTATCAGTGAGTTGCACTTGAATTATGAGAGTGAGTCACCTAGGAAACACCTTGGAAGTTGTACATCAGGTGGAATAACACCTGAGCACAGATACGACAGGTGTTCGGAACAATCAGGTGGTACTAAACCATAAAATCACGAAAACTATGTTCATAGTTAGTTAAAACACATTCCATGCTCCCCAGACCACCTCGCTTCCCATAAACTCTTGAACCTCCTCATACATTGGTCCGTTATTACAAAACACAATGTTTCTCGCTTCTTCCTATTCATTTACGCAGTGCATCACTGATAAGCTGTTATCAAGTTAGTTCCTAGACTTATATCAGTGACCGCCCCAACGCCCACCGCAGCATCTGTTATCTCTTATCACTTGGGGAAGATTTTGCGTAGGAACAAACCGCTTGGTGAGGGTCAAGGTAGTATAATTGCCATATTAACGGTTTGAGGACTCAAATGGTCAAAATGAGAAAGAACTAACGCTTCTTTAAATGTTTCTTCTCATATATTTTTTCCAATTTTCTACAGTGAATACATCTTTTAGGTGCTAGGACGCACCTAACTTCTATATACACACAGACAAATCTGTAAACCAACCAATTGTGTGTTGATTTTATTGTCATCACTCAATCAAATTAAGGAACATAACACCATAAACTCGATGATAAAATCATTTGAATGACGACACGATAATATTATCACACAAATACTACATCCTCAAACCCAGAGGAAAATACAGAAGAAAACATGAACAATCAATCTCCTTGAACCCAGCTGATTCTTTAATTTACCTTAAGTATGAAAAGAACAATTTCGAACCCCTCAACGCAATCATAAGTAAAAACCGTGCCTTGTGCAGTAAAACGAGCGTTTAATCCACGTAAAGTCATTCACACATTTCTAATGCTCAACGGAAATGCTCAAAAGAAAGTTCATCGGGAAAGGAGCATTAAACTGCTGCATTATCACTCCAAGAAGGAAAGGAGTTGCTCTTTGAAGTGAAAGGCAAAACGGAGCAAGCCTTTCACGAAGCGTAGAAAGTTGAACATTTGTTGGAAAGACGAGACAAGAAGATGGAGAAGAAAGTATATCACCGGTTTCTGGGCATTGGGTCAGTAGTCAACAATGCCTATGTTTGTGAAACTAGGTTGATGTATTCGAATACTCAATAACAAACGAATCTTGGCTTCTGGGCAATGCTCACGTATACTGTGGCGATGAAAATCTTGTAGAGAATATGTGATAGTTTCATATGAAAAAAGTTTATACAAGGATAAAAAAATAAAGTTTTAAGGTAGCTTTGCCACCTAAGATCAGATGAATAGGACCATAAACATGCCCAATTGCAAGAATAGCTGGGCCCAGTTTCGAATCACTAAAAGCTACGGACTTTTCTCAGGTGCGAATCGACAAACTTTTGCTTTGTAACTTAAGACGAAGATAAACGGAGGATTGGCGCGAATAAATGAGACGCCAGCTTTTGATTAAGATCATAACTTTTGACTTTAATCATCGCAATTTACTTAACTCCCAACGATCAAGACAGGGTCCAGTTTCTAACCATCTAAAAGCTACCGACTTTTCTCAGGAACGAACCTGCCACCTTTTAATTTCAAGCCGAGCACTACAACCACTAGCTATGATGCTATAGCTATATCGTTGGATAAAGTGGTGGATACAAGTGTGTTGCAGTATTCTGCCTAGTGCACACAGCTGTTCCAACCACAACCATCATGGTTGCAACCACCACGACCATTATGGTTATGATTTCGGTCGTGAAAGGTCGCGCAAAGGTCATTATTCTTCCCAGGATCTGCACTCTTTCATCTTCAAAAACAGTGTATCGCTATTCCAAGAAGTTCTCACGTATTTACGTTACTCTCCACGAAATAAAACTCCACAAATACGTTCGATGTTTTACGTCACATTATACATTTATGACGATAGCTAATCTTGTGTAAACGTATTTGTAATGGACCGACAATGCAACAATGAGATCAGCTATTTGAATGTGACTTGAAATACAGTAATTCAAAAGCTATTTCAATAAGACTTTTATTCATTGTTCACAATATTTATTCAATTTATTCAATGCTTTTCTTCATGGCTTGAATATACTATATTCTCAAAATAATGTTTTAATACTTATTCACTAGGAATAATAATTAAGTTTGAAAATGTTAAGTTATATAATTTTGTTATTGTGATCTATAAACATATTTCTAGATACAAAATTAAAACGAGTTATTGACAAATCTTACTTTAATTGATCTTGAGATTTTTATGAAAATAATCATTTATAACTTGTTTAAATCATACAAAGTTTTATATTTGGGCAAAACTTTGCCTCCAACAAAAACATGAAGGTCCCCCAACCTTTACGGTCAAACTAAAAGTAAGTTAACACATTTTAAATTTCACTCACATATATTTACTATTTAAAATCTCTCAAATGCATTAATAACTATTAAATCCCCCCCCCCCCAAAAAACTAAAATTTTCCAAAGCAGCAAAAATGTAACTTTTGACATCTTAACAACAAAATAGAAACAAAAGTACCAAGATCGTACATTAGAAGTCTCCTATCACCCAATGTGATCCAATTTTAATCAAAGCAACAAAAACACTTACTGTATAAATAAAATGAAAACTAATAGCATCAACAATCAAACACATTTGTGTCAATTTGTAACATATCGATAGCATTACTCCTATCTCAGTTAATAAAGAACGCAACCAAGCTGAAGGCTGTCGATGAAATCAAAATCGGACAAGTGTAATAATTGGCAGTACGAGAACGGAGCAAGAGCGGAGGGGTCTTCATAGAGAATCGATAGGTACAGAGATACATGAGGATGTGGGAGGGGGGGGGGTGAAATGGGTGGAGATGGGGTGTATACAACCGTCTACCCTCGCCGTCTCGACGCTTTTAAACCTAATTCCGAGTATTACTTACTGTCCCAGTACTGCGAATTGTATTTACTACCTTTGTTAATGACTAATTTCATACATGTATGACCATTGATTAATAATTTTTATTTCTGCTGCATAATTTATTTGTGAATATTAATTATCGCATGTTTTTTTGGGAGCGTTTCATAAACTCCAAATTTCACAAACTCCAACGCTTAAAATATTAAATAAACAGAGCGGTTCATAACCTCCAATTTTCATAAGCTCCAAATCTATAACATTCAAATAATCACTGTTTCACAATGTCCAAATTTCACAAACTCCAACGTTAAGATACCAAATAAACAGTGCGGTTCATAATGTCCAAATTTCATAACCTCCAACGGTACAGTCTGAGCCAGAAGTCTCTACAGTGGTTGCCACTAGCAGGCACCGTTCGCCAGCGCTCAACTACTGATTCTACGTGCATTTTATGATTGAAGAACACTCAGCTGTGTGACTCAAATATGTGTTAGCACACAATGTGCAAATCAAATTTACATTTTTACATTTTTAATACCTTTAATTCAAGCTTTCAGCTGAGTTTCTTAACTGTTCCGTCTCTCAATTAAAAAGCCAATTATTACATTACAAATATCGCAAGAGATTTTTTTACCGATGAAAAATTTTAATACATATAAATATGTTTTATAAGTATATTTTCTAATAGCTGTTAAAATTTCATAATGATTATATCAGTTGTTTTTTTGTTATGTGTAAAAATAGCCCTTTGTTAGAAAAGTGCCGA